TTTTTTTTTTTTTTTTACAACTGTAATTGCTCCTAAGACAGAATTGTTCTCCCGATGGCGGCCCATTTACCTGTTTCGATAGAATAATATCGTAACGACGCGATTTCCTCGAGGCGAACGAAGCAGAGTTTCAGTCGTCAAGAATGATTTACAACAATGTGCACAGTCAGAGTTGAATGCAATCGTATCTGTGCGAAAATTTCATTTCAGAAATATTCAGGTCAACGATATTTATACGATTATAGAAATTGTTTTTTTTTTTTTTTTTTTATCAATAGTTATACATGAATACTCATACTATGTAACAGTATAGAGAGAAGATACACCCGAGGGAAGAAATGAAACATGATCGTCAGTGTACATGTTTTGTTATTTACAATGATTCAAAGCGTGCCTGCGGTATTCACGTAGACTGAATGACTTAGTGTTTGAGCTGCGTGCAACCTACGCATGAAAGACGCTGACTTTCACTTATTAAGAGTTCTCTTGCATTCACGAGATTTCTTTGCTTGCACATGTCTTAAACGACACTGAAACACAACGCCGTTTACATTATGTAATCGTTTTAATCGTGCTCGATCCTCCTCGTTGAGGAACGCTTTGCGGACAATTACCCAATCGATTTCTTCCTATTTTTCTCAGAAATACAGGAAATATACTATTGTTAAAGTAGATTGATCGGGTTTTTGCGCAGTGTAAAGTGTCTGTTGCAAGTTAAAGTTATTTCAAGATAGACTTAAAAAAATTTGAGCAAGAAGATAAGAAATTTGGGGGATTACGAGGCAAGTTATTTTATAATATCTAGTAGATAAAAGAAATTTAATAGTTTCATTACTTCTAATTACAGTTATAGAAATATAAGCTAATGAGCAAGATGTCCATAGGCTTGCATTACTGTCTCATTGATTTATGAATCATGGCCGCATCTGGACAGCGGAAACTGCGGTTACGGTATTGCTAAACGCGTAAAGTTGCGCCACGATGATCGAAAAGTTCGGTGAACTAAACGTTCCCTATCTTTCCCCTTGATCCTCGCTCGTGAAGAGAAATCCCTAAGAAAAACGTACGGACCGATATAATTTAATACAAGGAAGCACGAATTCGCCTTTTTTTATTTCTTCTCTTAATTTTTCACCCTCTTTAACAAGATTATGGAAATAACCAGCGGGAGAAAGCTCGCGCATCTTGTTTCTGTAAGGACAAAATTTTTCTCAGTTTCCAGAAGGAAGCTGATTAAAAGGTGTAAAAAGGTGTAAATTTGACTTTGTGATCCCTTTCTCATTTGCCACTAATTGTAAGTAGTAATAGCTTCGTCCGTTTCATTATATAAAACGTAGAGGAGAATAAAATGTGAATAAAATGTATATATTTCGAACTTCTTATAGAAAATTATCAATGTGATTAACGAGTAACAAGTAAGAAATATACACGTATACGTTGCAAAATAATCCATAGATAAAGGAAAAGAGATATCGCGTTTTATTGCACCAAATACCAGAAGCAAGTGCGAGAAAAAGAAAAAAAAAATAGAGTAGAAAAACTATGGTGAATTCAGAGCGGTGACTAACGCTTGACATTTCATTGTTAAACTCGTTCGATAGTCGCGGATGACGTACGCGGAAAAGAAAAAAAAAAACAGTCATATAAGTTGTGTATCTGCACATTCTCCACACAACAAGGAACAAGCATAAATTCTCAGAAAACGTCATAAAATTGTGGCTGGTTTTATTATACATGTTTATAGATGTTCGTGGGATTGGTACGATAGCCTTGTACGCGGTATCTTCTTCGCAATTATTCTTCGGTACGAAACGCATAAAAAGCAGATTGAATAATGCCTGTCCGCTTCGCATAAGGACAGGTCGTCAATGGTATCCGTTTTTATGGACAGACTAGTCTTACGAGTTTATGCCGACTGTCTAGCGTGATGGCGACTTTGATACTCGTTCATTGTAGTATGATA